TCTGGTTTGGTCTTTTACAACAGAAAGAATTGAATCTTAGAAACAGATTTTTTTTTTTTGGTTTAAATTCTTGATTATGGCTTATTCTATAAATCCGGTGTGTGCAAGGCTAATGCTATGATAAACTTTTCCATCTACTTTACTATCTGAATTGTATACAATAAAAAGATGAGATAATTTAAATCCTGAGGTCTTAAAAGAACCACCATCCACATTGTGGAAGACACACAGCTGCTAAAGGAGCTAGCACCCATCATTCACATTCTAGCTGAACCTTCACAGAAGACATGGAAAGGATTAATCCAGGACTTCAATTTCATCAGTCTTTTAAAAATCAAATTTAGATTTTGATCTTTGATACCTTGGATTTTGTATAACTTTGCACATTGTCTTGCCAGGGAGTTAAACCTCTGGACTTAATGTTTCCATAGAAATTTATAATAAGACAAGGTTTATTTATATTCAAATGTGTGGCATCTCTATATTTACAGCAGTGTATTATTGCAGTGTCTTTATGATGCCATTTGACATTTTTGCATAATTTCTTAAAAGGAAATATTGGTCAATGTGCCTGGACAAAATTTGTAGTGGGAAATATACATCATTATGTAAAGTTCTGCTTCAATATTAATTTAGTGAATGTCCTTCTTGGTTAAATGTCAGAGCCATCTGTTGACAAGAGATACGCTGTCCACCTGTGGTCCCAAAAGGATACATAAAGAAGCAGTTGGTGATTTTTTTCCATGTAAGGATACCTGGTAGCATCTCATTCCAGGGCACTTTTTGCCCCTCTATGTCCTCTAATGACAGCAAGAGTCATTTAATCTGATTGGAAGGATAAACTAGGTTCATTAGTCCCTTTCCTCCTCTGCACTGTTGTCAATAAGTTTCCTAAGGAAGTGTGGATTCTACTATGTTTTGGTCCTTTATGCCAGAAATGTTTTTAGATAAGGCTCAATCCCCATTGGGAAGAGAAACTTATCTTTTCCAGTGCTACAATGATGAGGCCAGTAATTCTGTCTCGGTTGGTATTTAGCATTACAAACTCAATTTGCCCACCAAAACAAGTCACATTCTTCATTATAAGCATTATCAGTAATGAAGGTAATATTTTCTTACTTATCTATGGTTTTTGTTATCAATTACTCAATTTGTTCAGAAGTCTAATGGGCCTGCTAAAATCTCTAAAGCCTTTAAATCATTAAGAGAAGTACATATTTTCAAATTTTCCTAGTACTCTTTGATTTCTGAAGATTATTTTTATTTAGTCTTCCATTTTTGTTTTATTGATGTAGTGCATTGTAATGCATTTATTTATATAAATGTAATAGGGTACATTTTTTGAGACTTTCTTTGACTCCAAGCATTTCTTTCTGATTTTTTAAATTTTTTGTTTTATTTGTTTTAGCCACTTTGGTAATAGAGGTTTCCCTGAAATACATGGTAATTCATAGTTCTTTGTTTATACTTAAGAGCAAAACAATAAAAACTGGCATGATAAGGGCTGCTTTAAACTCGCGAGCATCACTCTGTGTTGATTGTATAGGTAATCAAGTATTTTGATGGAGAGCCTCAAATGCCTATATCTATAGTTCTTTTCTCTTGAGTCAATCATTTATTGTAAATATCAGTACTCTAATTTTTTTCTTTGGGTTTATAAACCAAATGCCAGATCATGGGAGCCTTAATGGGATGGAATATATTTTACCATTCAATATACAGACTTACATTCATAAGCAAAAATGTGCCTAAATGCACCCTTGGCCGGCCTATTGTCCCCAGTTTCAGAGCACCTATGATTCATTCTTTCAGAAATGAATATTCCAGTCTTCTTTCTGTATAGGAAATGTGTAATAGCATGGCTAAATGAGTGGGGGGAAGAATCTAACTCTTCTTTACTCACATGTTCAATCACTTTTGCTTTAATGCTTTCAGCCCCATCTTGCTCTACTTATCTTCAGCATTTCCTGGTGAACTCTTCCTCCAGTTCTTGAATCTTTAAGTCCTGAAGTAACAACCTGTTTGCTTCTTGCTGGTTTTTATCACTCAGGAAATTATGTTTTGCTTTTCTCTGCTCTGTTAGGTGAATTACCAGTTACTGACCTCTTTTTATTTTCCAAATAGATACTCATGAGGCTTCATAGTCTCCTCTCTCCCATTCTTTGTCCTCATATCACTTTAAAAAATGTTAAATGGGCTGGGCGTGGTGGCTCACGCCTGTAATCCTAGCTCTCTGGGAGGCCGAGGCGGGCAGATTGCTCAAGGTCAGGAGTTCAAAACCAGAATGAGCAAGAGCGAGACCCCGTCTCTACTATAAATAGAAAGAAATTAATTGGCCAACTGATATGTATATAAAAAAAAATTAGCCGGGCATGGTGGCGCATGCCTGTAGTCCCAGCTACTCGGGAGGCTGAGGCAGAAGGATCGCTCGAGCCCAGGAGTTTGAGGTTGCTGTGAGCTAGCCTGACGCCACGGCACTCACTCTAGCCTGGACAACAAAGCGAGACTCTGTCTCAAAAAATAAAATGTTAAATGAATATTTTAGGAGGGTATGGAAAAAAACACATTTGCTCAATCTTAACTCAAATTTCCTTTGCTTATTAACAAATGATTCTAAAATCAATTATTATGGCCATCAAATGAAATAAGGTAATTGTAGCTCTTGTATAACCATTTACTCATATATCAGAGAGATATTCTAGGCAGAAGAAAGTTAAGAAATGCTCTACCATTGCTAACATCTCATAGATAGGAAAATACATTTGTTTTCAGAAAAAAAAAAGTATAAAGTGAAACTCCCTTATGATACAGTCAGCCCTTGAACAGTTCAGGGGTTAGGAGTGCCAACCCCTACACACTTCAATATCTGCATGTAAATTTGAATCCCCTAAAAACTTAGCTACTAATAGTCTCCTGTTAAATGGATGCCTCACTGATAAAATAGTCAACTAACACATATCTGTATGTTGTATGTATTATATACTGTCTTCTTACAATAAGTAGACAAAATAAAATGCTATGAAGAAAATCATAAAGAAGAGAAAATATATTTACTATTCATTAAGTGGAAGTGGATCATCATAAAGTTTTTCATCTTTGTCTTTTTTCACATTGTGTAAGCTGAGCAGGAGGAGGAAGAAGAGGGGATGATCTTGCTGTCTCAGGGGTGGCAGAGGCCAAAAACATCCACATATAATTGGACCCATGCAGTTCAAACTTATATTGTTCAAGGGTCAACTGTGCAGAAGTTCTGTGCAAAGATTTTGGAAACTTTTTGGCATTCTTACCAGACTAACTTATATATTCTCATAGAACTACTTACATAGTTTATTATGATAATTATCTCTAACTATGGCTATCATTTGTCCAACCTTTTGTTTTTTTTTATTGTAAATTTTTAAGAACATATACTCCTACCTTGCCCACCAATACAACCTCAGTGCCTCGCAAATACCTGGCACACAGTATATGATAATTATCTGTTGAATAAGTAGTCTGTGTCTCTTTCATCCATTTAGCAATTCGTTTAGCTTATGGAATCCTTTTGTTAAAAATTCCTACTTAATTTTAAATATGATTGGGAGGGTTACATGGATAGTGAATTTACAAAGTAAAAATTAAAATAATCACATTATGCTGCTTCAGTTGAAATTTGCTGGAGTTTTCATGATAAAGAGGAATTAAGTTCATGTATAGGAAGTTTAGATAAATTAAAATATTGGAGCTGCATTCATACTTTGTTTTCTATATTGTGTTAATTGCTGTGTTCACCTGTGCCTTTTGAAAAGAATAAGCTCAAGAAGAATGGAAGCTATAATGAAAAGGAACTGAGAAGTTTTGAGCAACTCTGCTTACATAGGAATTTTTCTTGCAGGCATAGGAATTGCAAAAGCCAGTGCATTTCTGAAATTTATCTTGACATTGTTTTTGGCATGAATACAAAGTACACTCCTAGACTCTATAGAAATTTAGAAAATTCCTGAAATTCAGTTCCCGGAAAGACATATTCTCATACCTTTACTCTTAACTACAGAATGATTTTTGAATATGGATTGGTTATTTTTATTCAAATTTAGCTGATATCATTAATTTTAGTTATCTTAGCACCTCCTAGATGTTTAAGAATGACTTACAAGGGAAAGAAACCATTCACAAATGACATATGCCTTCATTTATATGAAATGTCGAGGTTAGACAAATCCATTGAGACAAAAAGTAGATTAGTAGTTGCCTCCATGGTGGGGAAATGAGAAGAAGAGTAAATGCTAATGAGTACAGTTTTCTCTTTCGGGTGATAAAAATGTTCTAAAAATAGACTGTGGTGACAGTTGCACAATTCTGTAAATAAACTAATAATCATTGAATTGTACACTATAAATGAGTAAACTTACGGTACCTAAATAAGATCTCCTTAAAGATGTTTTAAAAAAGAGTGACTCATGGCTGAAATTTCTAATTATATTACTACATATTTATGTTTCCATTAATGTGAAGAATAATTGCTATTGTGTGGCTTGTTGTTCCTTTATATATCAATTTGATGTCCCTATTAATTGAAATGAATTCTGCAATGTATAACACTGTTAAACATGTAATTGCTTCTTATAAACCACTGATGGTTCTTAAAATATGAATAAATTGATCTGTCCTAAAATTCACTTAAATTATTTAAAATTAAGATTGTTTATGTAAAATAATAATTAAGACATTATGTTCTTTATTGTTTCAATGTAATACTTAATACTAAATTTACTAAATTTTTCTTTGTTGCTACATATCAGGAAATGATAAAACATATGTTTAATACCCACACAGCATCATAAAAATTATCTTAATTTATCAAAGTATTGACCCTTAAGGCAGAACTTTGCTTTTGTCCACTTTTGTATTGCCAATACACAGAATATTATCTATTTAACATGACAAATTAAGCTCTAAATATATATTAAATGATGGTGTTGACTGACAATTTTATTCTTTATACCAAGTATCACTATTACCTTCCTAGAGCCTGGAGGAATGACGATATTTTCTTTGATTTTTCCAAGATATTTCAAGTTTATTTGAAGTCACATTTGAAATTAGAGTAATTATCTTCAAGGTTTACTGTTGAGACGTAGAATTCTTGTTGTAATTAAATAACGTTTTAAATGCTTCATATTGTTTAAGAAAGATCAGATGCAAGGATTAACATTTATATTCAGAAATACATGAGAAAAACACACAAGCATACTAATCCTCCATTTCCATTCCCCACTCCAGGGAAAGAAAAATTACTAGCATCTCTGTTTCTGGCACTTTAATTTTTCACTTGCTATTAGGATATAGCAAGAGGAGAGAATACAGAAACAAAGTCATGATAATTATTTAGTAGAAAAAGGAAGAGATGATAAATCTTCCATTTCATGATATCTTTTTGGCACTGATGTATAATTTGCTGGCAATACTGCTTGATGCTAGGGATGAACAGGGGAAGGGGTTGACTTCACCATGTAAGCATATCAGATAGTCTTAGGCAGAGTAGAAAACATATTTTCGCAAACAATGGTTTGTCAAATACAAAGTCCAAGTATACTTCTGTTTCCTTTTTTTAAAAAATCAGCTTTTGAGATTTTATAATTAAGCAAGCACTGGCATTGCCAAAAGTTAAAAGACCTGTCTCCATTACTCATATCTTGGGTATCAAAGGTGACAGAATTGTCCTCTGTGCTTGAGTCTCTTGGGGCCTTGAAAGCAATGGCACTAGTGAGTAGCACAGGTTTTTACAGTGCAAGAAAAGTCAATTAACATTTTAAAGGTTTATTTTTCATTCTCCAATGCCCCATCAGTAATTATTCAATGTTAAATTTTCTTTTCTTTTCTTTTCTTTTTTTTTTTTGGTCTGGCTGCATACTCTACATGTCCTTATTAACATTTCCATAATTAGTGTTACTCATTACATGCAGTAAGCAAAAAGAAGGAAGCCATAGTTCAAAAAATATTTTCCCAATTTATACCTTATCCAAATGTTCTCATCTCTGCTACTCATCTAAATTCTGGAGATTTACAGATGGAGTAAATATTGGACTTTATCTTTTTTTCATGCTAGATATTTTCTTGCTTTTATTCCCAAAATATTTCCATGTTACGATGTCCATGAAATAATCAGAAATCTATATTTCATTTTCACACTGATATTTTTTCTGTTTACTTACAGTTCTATCATTATCAGGCATTCACTAAATCCTCTAGTGGCTTTAATTCTTTTATTATTTTGTCAATACAGAGTAAGACACAGGTGACATTAGGACTGTGGGGAATATAAATACCTAAAGTATAAATGAATGCATAAAATCAAAATACTCATCTTTACAAGACTATATTCTATGAAATTACCAAAAATTGTTTTCTTTTTTCCTAAAACCAATAATTGTATAGTGTTATTATAACTACTAAAACATTTTGTACAGACCAATAATTGTCTTTTAAAGATCAGTATGTAAAAAAGTATGGCTTCTCCATTTGAAGTAGAGAAAGAAGCTTCCTGAAGCTCTTTCCTGTTTTGTTGTACCATTCCTGGAAACTTATTGGGAAAAGGAGATGGGAAATACTATTTTGGGGGAAATTCTCCATGGTGCTTCCACACATAACAGCTTTTGTTCAAGATTATCTTTTCAAGGATGTTTGTATCGCAAAATGTTTTGGAAGACAAAGCCTTGTTTTTAAAGTAAAAGCCCTTAAAAGATAGAGGGACAGAAGGTAGGATTATATCCTGACCAGGATATCAAAGATAATGTCTCTCTCTGAGGCAAAGGTTAAGAAGATTTCTATGTAGTCTTTTTTTTATAAAATTAGGGATTTCCTAAGCTCAAGGTCCCTCACCTATGACATAAACCCACAGTATACAGTATTCACTTGTGCCCACCTCTGCATCTTCCCCGTGGGACTTTTGGGGTAAGGGGAACCAAAGCAAATGTGAGGCTGATACTGCTGTTATGCTGTAATTAATAAAGTTCTTTGTCTCTGACACAGGGACACTTCTGCCAGTGTCCATGACATTGTGACAGCCAAACTTGTTAGCTTGCAAGTAGGGTAAAATCTTAGATCCTCCACAGTTCTTGACAATTTTGTAGATGATTAGAGGATGAGATGCTGACAGAAACGTGGTTTTCTAAGACAGGAAAATATAAGGGCCAGGTTGGGGGATATGAGAGTACTCCCTAGGGTCCAAGTTGTGAGCAAGAGAAGTGGAGTGCAGGGAAGGGCCACCTCTACTCTCTTAACTTTAATGATCCCGAACGGTAGGAGCTAAGACTGAAAAAAGTCACCTAAATGAGTTTTTTGCTTATTTACTTTCTAGGCAGGAGGCAGATGGTTAAGGAGCCAAAAGCTGGCACAGGGCTAATCTGAAAATAGTAGAAGCATAATTGAGTCATCTATCTGCTCAAAATGAAAAGTGAATGTGGTAGGTGAGAAACTGCTCTCTCTCTCTCCCTGCCCCAGATCTCTTATTTCCCCTCTACCTCCAACTCAACTGCTTTAAGAAAAAAGGTTAAATCTCCTGGGGAACTTTAGACAGAGGAGTAATTTATGTGTTTATGACTCTGTTGATACAAATGTTCAAGTCCCATTCTACCTAGACTTGTATAAGGAGGAGACATATGGATTCAACTGATAGGTTTTGGCAAAGTTCCCAATGAGGGGCTGGGGGAACATGGAGGAAACGTTACCTTGTTTGCGGAGTTTTCTGAGCCAATTCAATTGAACTTTTTGTGCTGTTCCTGTACCTAAATATGTAGTAGGATTTGATGGGTTGTATGTTTGAGTTTCTCATCCTGTGAGTGCTATAGAATCAACCTGATTGGAGAAGAACTGCAAGTAGAAAGAAAGACAAGTGAAACAAACTTCCTTGTCATTTGCTAGCAGTGGGTGAGTGAGAATTTAGAGTAAGGGCCTCCACCCTCACTGACCAATGCTTTTATTATACAGATGATGTCCCGGGGTTGGCAAATTACAAGCAGCAGTCTCAGATGCCCTGCCTGCAATGCTATCAAAACTCTACCAGCAGGAGGACCCAACAAAATTTGAGGACTAAATAAATTTTGGAGGACTATGTGGTCACATTCATAATTATCTCTCCAGCATTCTGGAAAAAACCGCTTTCTCTTCAGATCTCTGCCATAACAAAGAAAGCCTAACATTTCGCTTGCCATTAGAGGTATGAAGACAGAAGGAGTCTCTGTGACTGATGATTTTGTTGGCTAAAAGCCTCTGGTAAAGAAAGGCAGCCTCGCCCAGAGACGATCCTTAGAGTTTCGGTCTTTAAGCTTCCCTGACACAGCTACCAGGTACACCTCCTTTGAAAAGTAGCTGTTAGCTTGCTATCCAACCCTTCTGAAAAGTGAGTGCCTGATTCACAAGGGCCATGTGACTCTCTGACCTGAGACCTCTATTTTGTGGTGAGTCTACCGGGAATCCATGAGGTGGATTTTGCAAGCTGTGAAAGCCTGCAAAATGGAGATAGTACACTCAAAAACACACCTGCCTGGCCCCAGGGGTGCTTTGGCTTTATGTGAAAAATTGCTAGTTATCCCTTAGAGTTTTATGAGGACTTTATGCCCTTCTCTACCTACTGAAGCAAAGCTGTTCAGTCACCAGGGTGCATGATTCAGAGTTTCCCCTGAATGCCTCGGCCAGGCTCACTGATGGTATGGCTAAGCAGAATCCAGATGTGTATCAGAATGCTGCAGCTGTCCAGCCTCAGTTCCAGCAGAACCAAAAGTAGATGAGGTCACTCTGTTCAGAAGGCAGAACTCTGACTCTTTATCCTTTTGCCAGTGATCTAGATGTATAGTCCGTCGTATGGAAAAATATAGACATTTAAATTAGAAATCACCCCTCTTAGAGATCATCAATTGTGGAAACAGATTACTGTTTCTGACTGAACCACTGGGGTCATTCATGTAGATTACCATGAAAAGGAAAGGCCCATTTTCTGATGAATTGCTTGGAAATCAAACTTCTGATTGAGTCTGACATTATTATAATAATAATGATAATAGTAATAATAATACCTATCTCATAGAGTTATGTGAGGATAAAATGAGATTATATGCATAAAGAAATTTGAACAGAGCCTGAAATATGATTAACTGTTTTTAATATTATCATTGGATTTCTTATTATAGCTATATCTGTATTTTCTTTCTCAATGTTAGTGGAAGGTTTTATTATTATTATTATTATTTTATCTATAACATTTTTAATATTTATCTCTAAAATTTTTTAAATATATTTTTTTAAAAAATTAACACAATATCATTATTGGTGGAAGCCTTTAAGCTATGAACCTTTTACTCTGCTCAAAAGTACAACCTCATTTGCAGGTTGTAGCTTGTCAAAATAGTGGACATTGCTGCGTTTCTTCCAGTATCTGCTCTACTAAAGGAATAGGAATAGGAATTGCGGATAATCCCTTATTGCTTTTCTTCCATCAAGACTTATTTGCACTATACTTATCTCAATATATTCTTTAATTTGAGGCATGTAGATTGCATACTTGCTTTTTTCAAGCACTCTAATAAATGTATTCCCTATGAAATATGTCTTTCATGATTTCAGACAGATTATGGAAGATGATCTTTTCTTTTAACTTTTGCATTTAAACTATTAGTACTAAAAATTATATATTTGAATTTCTTTACAAATTTTATATCTGTAGGATTTTTAATTGTGATAAATTTAGGCATCATAAAATGGTGGTGATGTACAGAAAGGGCAGACATATTTAAATTTTATTACTTTTTTAATATAAAAATATATAGAAATATAACTGCACAGATATGGCTATACAAGGCAAGAGGTATCACAATATACTTCCATTTGGAAGAGCTATCCCCTAGGGTGGACAAGTCTTTATATATATAGAAACCTGCTGTTGACATCTTCTGAAGGCATCCGTGGTTTTAACAAGCTTTAAGATACAACCTCTCAACCATTTTCTAGGGTGGGAGCTTTACTGAAAACAGAAACTTGACCATATGTTCGCTAGGAATAAGAAATGATGCAGCTGCATGAACTGCAGGTTAACATCTAGCATCCAGACTATTAAGCTAGAATCATTTCACAGTAAGTTCTAAGTCCTATCATGCAGCAGGAAATATAGGTTGTATAATAATAATAATAATAATATAATACATGGGAAGATCATAATCATATTAGTAATGTTATTGTAGCTGTACTAAAACCTATCATTTAATAAAGAACTCAACAATTTTACAACAAAAGTTTTTTGTTTCAAAACATAATTGAAGCCATATATTTTAGCTTCAGAAACACACTCTAGTCATTTATTTTGGGGGAATTAAAAACATCATTGACTAGTGTCTGCATAGCATTAATCTGTAAAAGACATGCTTACAAAAGTAATATTAAAAAAATAAAAGTTTCTTTTCAGGCCAAGAGGGTATAACAGGAATTGGATTTATCCTCCACCTAAAAAATTATAAAATCAGACAAAATATGCAAAATAATGGTTTTCAAGAGGTTGGATGTGAGGCAATAAATTTTAATGATCCCTAAGAGAAAAGAAACAAATGAGGTGAGTCTTGCAATTAGCCTGACATAATGTCTGGGAGAGTTTCTAGGCCACAGTGCCAGGAAGGGTATCCCATGTGGAGTTTGGTGGTCTCCTTGAATTGAGAAACCAGAGCTGGGACTCTAGAAAAGACAAAGAGTCTATAAATTACAGGACAGAGTACTGGAAAGGAGACAGCTAAATCAAAAAATAGCTATAAAAATCTGCAAAGTGCTCCCCAACAAGTTTTCATCTGAGTAGTGATTAGGGAATACATGTGTGGAAATTACCCATGTTTAGAGAAATGACCACCTGAAGGGATTAAAGAGAATGGTGTCAAGAACTCACACAGACTGAAAAATCACATAATTCGTAGGGCAACAGGTAGACTATCCTCAAAAGGACCAAAATATTTCCAAGTAACTTAACTTCACCAGAACAAAGCTCAAGAATATTTTTAAGAATACAAAAATAGCCATCACTCAGCAAAATAAAAAATCAGTGTCTGGCATCCAATTAAAAATTGCCAGAGATGCAAAGAAGCAGGAAAATATGATCCTCAATAAGGAGAAAAATCAGTCAACTGAAACCAATTCATAAATGTCACTGATGTTAAAAATACAGAAAAGAACCTTATAACATAAAAGAACCATATGTCTTTAAGTAGACATATGGGAGATACAGAAAAGATCCAAATGAAAATCTAGTGATAAAAATTACAAGGGCTGAGATGAAAAGATAGATTAGATAGGATTAACAACATACCAGACAGTGCATAATAAAAGATTTAAAAACTTGAAGAAATGTTAATAGAAATGATCAAAAATCATATAGATAGGAAAAATCTTTAACAAGGAACACAACAACAATGCTTTGTGAGTCAACTTCAGGTGACCTAATCCATAAATAATCACAGTCCCCCCAAAAAAGAAGAGGGAGCAAAAACTTTAATAAATAATGGTTAATATTTTTAATTTGATAAAAATTATAAATTCACATATCTTAGAAAGCCAATGAACCCCAAGCTCAAGAAACATGAAATAAAGTATGCTAAGGCACATCATAAAGAAATTGCTAAAATTTATGATAGAGAAACTTAAAACAGAAAAAAGAAAACTCACATTGATTATGAGAAAAAATGTCAGAATAATTGCAGGTTTCTCAATGGAATGATGTAGGCCAAAAAATTGCTGGGAAACATCATTTAAGGACTGAAATAAAAGAATAGTCCCCTCAGAATTGCATACCCAATGAAAATATTTTTAATATCAAAATCCAAATATCTTTTTGAAATATAAAAAGGAATGGATTTATGACCAAAATACCTGAAGAAATGTCAAAAGCAGAAAGAAAATATTCCAGTTAGAAATCTGTACCTATGCAAAGAGAGAAAGAACACTGAGAATCATAAGTATGTGGGCAAATACAAATAATATCATTAATTACTTAAATTTATCTGAAATAAAATTGACAGTTTAAAGCAAAAATAATAACCATGAATAGTGATTTTTATAAGACAGAAAGAAAACATAAAACAACAATAGCATCAATACTGGGAAGGGAGAAATAGAAGTGCACTGTTGTAAGGTTTTTATATTATATGTAAAATGGTACAATATCACTTGAAAGTAAACTGTGATAGGGTAAAGATGTTGTGTTAGTTAAGATTCTCCAGAGAGATGAAAACTAATAGGAGATAGGTACATGACAGAAAGAGAGAGAAAGAGAGACAGAGAGAGAGGAGAGGTGATTGACTAGGGAAATTGATTCACAAGATTATGGAGCTCATATGAGAAGTCCAAGGACAGGCCATCTGCAAGATGGAGAACCTAGAAGGTAGTCCAAGCTGCAAGGCCTGAGGATGAGAGAAGCTGGTAGTGTAACCCTCTATCTGAGGCCAAAGGGCTGAGAACCTAGAGCGGTGCTGGTACAAGTCCTGGAGTTCAAAAGCCAGAGAATCTGGAGTTCTGATATATAGGGCAAGAGAAGATAACTGTTCCAGATCCAAAAGAGAGAGAGTAAATTTTTTTTCCTCTTCCTTTTGGCTCTACCTGAGCCCCAAGCCAACTGGATGGTGGCCACCCACATTCCAGGAAGATTTTCCCCACTCTGTTCTGAAGAAGCATCCTCACAGACATAGCCAGAAATAATGCTTTACCAGGTATCTAGGCATCACTTGATCCAGTAAAGTTGAAACCTAAAATTAACTATCACAGATGTTTACTATAAATGCTGAATGAAACTATCATCAAAATAAAAAGTGTTAATAAGCCAACAGAGGAATTAAAATACAATTATATACAGTATTTAATCCATCCAAGAAAAGGGCATAAAAAGGGAAAAGGGAACATAGAACAGATGGAATAAATGGAAAACAAATACCAAGATGATAAATTTAAATTTAACCATATGGATAATCACATTAAAAGTAAATAATCTAAACTGTGTTAGCTATAGGTCTTTTCCAAGAGGCCTTACAGACTTAGCCACTCCATCCTTCATGCTCTCTGCTTTGTATTTATGTCTACTTTATGATATGATTTTGTTTTATTCACTTCTATGCCTACCTCCCTAGGATAGAGGCCCAAAATTCTATTCGATTCAACTCTTTTCCTTTTATATTTCACACAGCAACAGAGTTAAAGTAAACACTCAATAAATATATATCAAATAAAATATCTGAAGTATTGTGAGACACTCAGGAAAGACAGAACAGCCCCTTGAATCTCTAAAGCTTATACTAATAGTTGGTGCTAAGATGGGCAAGGTTCTAAAGTTCTTGGTAATGAGAAAGTGAACTGCAAATAGAGGTTAAATAAATTTTAAAAATGGAAAGTGGTATATAGATGTAACATTAGCTTAAATAAAAGAGGTTTTTACTCAAGGTTGGCAGCCAATGGGTCGGAGGGAAATGGGAAGCAGGAGAATTAATCCTATTGTATATGAAATTTTAAAAAGATAAAAGAACCTCCAGCGAAGGACACTGTAGAAATTCATGGAATGAAATATTGCAGAAATGAAAGGAACATATTTGTTTACAGATAGTATATCAAATTTGGTCATACAGCTTTTTTCAAATATGCCATTACTTTCAAATAAAGTAAAGACTTTAAATAAAGACTTTTCTTTCAACTAATTTAAGATAAGTATAGGGATTGATGTAAATAAGTAGAAGTCAAAACATTATCCCAGTCTGCCTCTCAGTAACAGGGGACTTATTCAGGTATTATTTTTTATGTCAAGTTTTCTGGTATCTTACCTCAAGTAAGATGTCTTTGTTAAGGTTGTGACAAACTTTTTTCCTTGTTTTTGTTTTTTGTTTTGTTTTTAAATTCATACAAGCAACACTCAACCAAAATGCAGAACCTGACTATTTCTTGTCTGGCACAAGTACAGTAATTTACATAGTAAAAAATACCACTTTAAAGACCATATGCTCATACCATCCATATTAGTTTTTATAGTTTATAACATATTATTATTCTTTTATTAAATATCTGGAATTAAAAAATATTTAACTACACATGGCATAGCTAAAAGCAATTCAAATTTTCTTAAATATATAAGAATGGGAAAAGACATATTATGGAATATTTATAATTAAAATGATAAGTAAAATGGCCCAAAACAGGGATTTACCTTTTGATACCTTTTGGTATTATACAATTAATGCAATACATGATAAGCCATGCTTATAAGAAGCATGAAAACATATCCAGATTTAATATAATTTTTGTATAGTAAATCTATGTTGCTCTCTGTAGATAAAACATTTTAAAAAGTACTAGTAAAATAAAATATACATGAACAAATACATTAGTTAAATAGAACAAAAATATTGCAAAGTCATATTTACTAGTAATGAAAGTGTATTTAGTTCCATCTTAGTCTATTAAATTCAGTATTATAAAAATAATAGCTTGAACTGAAGATGGTTTCAATGGTTTGAAATGGAATATCCTATATCTAGAAATGAATGTATAGCAGAATATTAGACTTTTATATTTTGGTTTAAAATACTAAAGATATGCTTTCACATATTTTTAGCCAGTAAGTCTTCACTCTCTTTGGATAACTAAAAAATCCTCATAGATTTTTTTAATTTAACCTATTAACTATGAAAGAAATAAAAATTCTTTAACTTGATAAATTCTGATTTATTTTATTAGTCTTAAGGTTAAGTATGAGTACTTACAGAGGTTGTATTCTGTCTATTAGCTATTTAATATAAGCCTATAAATTAATGCCTTAAAATTCAGTGTCTTATGTACTGCTTAAATTGTACGTATTTTACTAATTTTTATTTAGTGATCTTTACCAGTATTGAAAATAAGAGCATCATGGCTAATGAAAGAGTTTTTGCAAAAACAGTTTACAAAGAAAACACTTTATTGCCTATTTGTCAGTTTTCAAACTATTTATAAATTCACATATTTGGTGAGAATGGATAGACATAAAGAATAACATTATAGATAACATACCTGTCACACAGAAAAATACTTACATGATTTTTTTTCTAAATTAATAACAGTAGGCTTTGGGGTCAAATGGCTTGTGTTCAAATCATGGCTCATCAGATTAATAACCCTGAAAACTTAGACAAATAATTAACTACTCTCATCATTTTTTTCACATGTAAAATAGAAATATCAGACCTTACCTAATAGGTTTTTAGGAGGATTTTTAGAAATCAACTTAAAATACGTATGTAGAATTTAACACATATAAAAGACTTTTCACTAAAGTATTATTTACTGTATTTTCCTCTTTTGCATGATCATAATATTTCAGAACTCTATCTTTTGTACCTTCCATTTCAAAATGATCACTCTAAAGTGAAAAGATTCATTTTTAAAACTATAATATGCTAATTATTTCTAAATCTTTTACACCGTAAACTTAACTAAGATGTACAGCCATGTTTCAAATGCCTATACTACAGTGCTAACTAAACATTCTAAAGCATCCAAACATAACAATGCCAAATGTGTCCTCATGATCTCCTCAAATCATTTGTTCTTCTGTATTTTTAAGTATTAATATATTGATATCTGGGAGAAATCATAACATTTTTGGCTCTGATTTCTTCTCTATACTTTCTCCTCCTACCCTTTCATATTAAATTGTTTACCATGTTCTACAGACTGTACTGTGTACCCCTCACCTCAACTATGGCTGTACCATCCTGAACATGCCCAGTCTCATATGAACTGCTTTTCACTTCAAAAAAATTCATTTGTTGAAGCTATAACTCCCAGTGAGACTATTTGGAGATGGAGATTTGGGGAGGTAATTGTGTGTGGGTGAGAGAATGAGTGTGGGACTCTAATTATGGGATTAGGGCCCTTATTAGAAGAGAAAGAGCATAAGATTGCCCTCTCTTCACCATGTGAGGTGACATGGAGGCCATCTATAAGCCAGAAGAAGGTCTTCCTTAGGAGCTAAATTAGATGGTACCTTGATCTTGGAATTCCTATTTCTCAGAACTGTGAGAAATAAGTGCCTGTTTAAGCCACCCAGCTTATGATATTTTGTCATAGCAGCCTGACAAAGGTAAGACACCATGTCTTGATTTTTTTTTCTTAGCAATCTACTTAATGCAGATTAATTCAGGGTTTTGCTGAATATATAATTCAACTCTCACTACATCCTCCTCACTGAGCTGTCTGTTATTTGAATCTTGGCACTCCAGTTCATTTATCAAAATGTCAAGAAAGGGGTTATTCCAGAAAACAATTTGGTCATTATATATATATATCCTCTGCAAAACACAAAAACAAATTTCTGTTAGTTTCCTGTTTTCTGTAGTAAAAATAATCTAAACTCCTTACTCTAATATTGCATAAGCACAAAATAGTTAAACATGTAAACTTTTACCTGTGGAAGTGGTTAGGAAATTATGAAAATATTATTGTATTAGTTTCACCTGCTTAACTTAGTTCTTAAAACAATGTAGCAGATACTACTGGTTCCTACAACACAATTCCCTCCTGTGGCAGGTGTGTCCAGTCTCCCATGGTTGCGAGTTTTGTCTGACCATTACCAGCTGCCAGTTCTATGTTGCTTAGCCTTCAACCAATGGGAGCCTTTATTACTGAAGACTACTCCCCAGCTCCCTTTCCCAGTCGCATTTCCATTGGAGGAAAGCCCTCTGCCAGTAACTGACTTATACCAGGGCAGGAAGGACCACTTGCTCTTCTTATCATGGGATGAACTTTGTGGTGCTCTTTGGGTTTCAGGCTTCCCCTTTGGATCAGAAAGTATGGAGTCCCCAGCTGATATCTACCTGTGCTTAGCTTTATTCCCTAGCCCTATCCTGCTTCCTTTTTCTCCTCTTTACCTGCTAGCATGCCCTCAGTAATCACTTGATCAGGAGTCTAAGTCTAAGAATTTTCTTCTTGAAAACCCAAACTAAGAGAAGCAATGTCATTGTTTATTGTTCACAAGCTGATAGTTCAGTTGGGTGGTTCTTTGTATATTTGCAGTTGGGTTAGGGAAGTGGCCCTGCTGATTGAGGCTGGGGTGTCTCACATAATGTATATACTGGCTGTCAGCTGCTTTTGAATGGGTTAACTTTTCCCTATTTGTTCTCTCACATCTCGCCAACATACTAAGCTAGACATGGTTTCAATAGATCACAAAGACCCAAGAGAAAGAAATGCAGACGGCCTCCTGAAGTCTTATAACTGTCTCTTCAGCACTGCTAGTGTACTCAGTTGGAGAAAGAAAGTCACAAAAGCAAGTTACAAACCAACCTATACTTTACTGGTGATCATAAAGCAGATGTGCTTTGGTGATTGAAACTTTAATATCTTCACTCAGCTTATCCTGTACCTTTTGTCAAGAATGTCTTTAAAAGAAGTAAAAAAGTAATGGGTAGTATAAGAATTTTCTCAGAGAAGCAGCCTGGGGCTTGGTAACTGTTTGTATGCTTATTCCTCTTACTGCTTTGAATAAGTTTCCCTGTTAGAACAGATCAATCCTGTTCATTATTGTGTTGAATTTATTAAATCCCATATGTGCTAGTCATTCTATGAGGCAGTGTAGATTTAAATTTCAATCCATTTTCTTTGCGTATTTTCCTTCTCTATTTCTTTTGAATTCACGTCTGGTTGACTTCTCTTTTTTAGAAAGACGTCACATTCATTTCACTGTCAAACTTTTCAAAGTTATATTAGAATTCTCACTTACATCAGTCCAGGCTCCATTATAGGTATATTTTGAAGGAGTCTTTTTAAGTTCAACAATCATATTAACTGACAAGGCAGAGGCAGAGTAATTAGAGCATGAAATATATACTGCAGGGTCACCTCACATCTCAAGTGTAAATCATGATTCAAAACTCCAACTTGGCCACATTTTGACAAGGAGTCTTGGTATAATTTCCTTATCCTTGGAGCAACTTACCCCTTAGCTTGTAAGAAGTTGTAAATATTGAAAATGTATAAACAATACAAGTGCATCGTGGTCTACAGGTAACTTTTTCTTTCTTTCTTTTTTTTAATGTGGAGAATCTCTCTCTGCCCTGCGTGATACTTTACTGAAAAATTATTTTGGTTTCTGTCTCTTTTCTTAAGAATAATAAAGATCATACTTTCTTACTTTGCTTATGTTAAATAGAATTTGAAAAGACTTGATACAAAGAAAGAAAAGTCAAGTTAGTTTTAATTATTTATATAGTTTTTCCTATTAAATAATGAAACTTTTCAATCTGAGGCTACTTTTACAGGACAATGAAAGATCACCCAAAATCTCATATGAATGATAAACTCTGATAACTGCCCCAAATCCTAAATTTTTATACTTACTATCAATGAGTTAAGGAGTATCGTAGGGAGTAATATAAACTTAATTAAACAATACTTTTGAAACTTCTTACGTCTGACCAATTATAGGACAAACAGTTCACCTTTACTCCAACTAAAAATGGAAATATCACTTACAGGAGAATGAATGGGCTATTTAAGAGGTCACATTACCCAGACATATCATAAACTAGTGACATAGAAAAAGTGTTTTTCTTTGTGAGTTCAGACTGCATAATGTGCAGTTATGATTAAATAAAAATATAAGTTTTGAATTTAGACAAAATTAAGTTTTGTTTTTGGATGAACTGCTTACCAGCTGAGAACTTAGGAACTGCTCTGATGTTCTGTTTCTTACTCTGAAAATGTGAGCACTAATACCTACTTTGAGAGGCTTTTGTGAGGCAAAGAATAATGTATAAAACACATGTAGCTCAATCACTGGCATAGAATGTATGATCTTGTTGCCATTATTATTATGGTTATTATTGATGTTATTATTGAGAAAGTAGCTTAAAGTGATATTTTTTAGCATGAAATATTTTAACATGTAATTCTTACACAAAAAATAAACAGCTATAGCAAAAAAATTGTGTAACCCCTTTTATGTCTAAGAAGATCAAGATCAAGATCAAAAATAGATTATTTTTTTCAGGCAACTAGTTATATATTCCAAAAAGGTTGACCTCTTAAACACCAAAAACTTAGTAAAATCAAAGTAGTAATATTTTGATATTCTAACCTGAAATGAATTTTACTCAATTATGGAAACTGTTACTACTGTTTATTAATCTGTATCCTAGCAACTTTAGTTAATGCAGATGACTAATTACCAATAGCAGCAGGGAAAATGAGAGAGACTACTGCTCATTGTGCGTTGAAGATTTGAACGCGGCGTTTGTTTGATCCTTCTAGCTATCTTAAGAAAAAAATATCAGGTGTTCACTCTGATGTTTCCCTTTGTGTGAAATGCCTTAAGTCAATTACTTCTTTTATTCTATATTTGAAAACATATGGAAACAAAAATAAAATGTGACAAAGAAATTACATGGAATCATTCTATTCACTAATATAACATTTTTGAATCATATTTTATGTATTTGTTCTAGAATGATCAAATGCTAGATGCATACACACATAAATGTACTATCATTGGATTTTCAAAACAAAATATTTTTTCTGGAAGGAACCATGGCTAATGTTAATGTTTAAAAATAATGTTGGAAAACACACCATAAAAATATTTTCATTTTGGGAAAGAATTTTGATAAATTAATAATATATTATACATACATACATCTTAAAACTTAGAAAGTACCTCTCTACTTTGAAAATAAATATGGCAGCATCATTACAAAGTCATTGTCATTGTACTTTGTGAGAAAGAACAGCAGATATTAATTAGAGTATAATTTTTGGAGAAGCAGAAAGAAATCAATTACCATGATTTTATTGCTTGTATATATTATCATGAAATTTTAAAATTATAATATAACATATCAAAAAGACAAGTAAATTGTTATAAAGGTATAAATATAAACTACTATAAGAGAAATATAATGTATTAAAATAACTTCTTACCTCATTAGAATACATTTTATTGATGACAATATTCAAGTGTAAACTTGAAGTTTAAATTTATAGGTTCTTACATATACCATAATTTACTAACCTGGCCAATTATTCCTAATCAGTGAAGTGTTTTTCCCCTTTTCCAGTATATTAGGGCATTTTCAAGATTTGGACAAGAAAATCTTATAATTATTTGAGAGTTTTTTTTTTTATCTTGAGATATAAATTGTATTATTTGAAATATATAAAACTCTTAGTGTTCTAGAAATTTCAAAATAATTGGCAGGTGCAACCTATAAATTTTTGATTTCTGGGAAGACATACTAACTTATTGACCTTTATTAAGTGAACTATTTTTCCTTTATAACCTGTCTTCAAACATCTAAACAACTTCCATTGTTAAGGCAAAGTAGGATTTTTGAGTGGCATTCATGTGATCACCTACAAATAGAAGGAACTGTAAGAAAAAATGTGATCTGAACCTAAGAAATAAAGCAAGAGAATAAGCAATTTTATCCTTAACAAGAATATACGAATAAAGCAATCTGTATATTCTCTCAATGTCTACCGTACTATTAACAGGTCCAACCAAGGATTAAATTTTCTAGAAGAATGAATCTTTGCTTTGGCTTTATATGTTAACTGATTAGTGTTTAGTTACTTGGAAGTTACATGCCTATTTTTAGATGTCTGTCCAGTAGAAGGGATATGCCCAAAGATTATAGTTTTATTAACCTTTAGGATATGAATCTATGTTATATTTAATATAATGATTTTATTCCAATATTCTATTTAAATCCCTTTCCTAATAGATTATGCAAACTCTTCCTCCTCAAATGTTCTTGGAATCGGCCTTCCCATCCTACTTGTACTCCCTTTAATGAGTTGAATAAATCTTTGACATGCATTTATTCTATAGTTATTATATATGAGGATCATGTTTTTATATTTAGAAAATTATAATTTGACAGAACAAAATTTAAGAGAAGAGCGACTGCCCAAATTAAAAATGAAACGATTATTTCATGCTTTTAGAATTTCAATACTGGCATAAAAAAAAAAAAAAACAAGTTTCACTGTTTTTAATTGATTTTACATAAACTTACATTGTCTTTAAGATCAAAGTATCGTTTTGGTTACTATTATTTACTTTGCAATAATTGCTCATGTCATTGGTAATCTATTTATTATAAATGCATGTCTGTTTACAATATATCTATTTCATAATATTCTTACAGTTCAGAACAAAAGAGCCCCTCGAAGGAGAATGTATCTGACTGAAGGAATCTGATTGCTTCTGGGAAGTGAAGTGGAAGTCTGGCTTTGAATGTAAAGTGCTTCTGGCTACAGCTATTCAGAGCAGTATTTCTTGTCCTGTCAGGTGAGCTCAACAAAGTAGAAAAGTTATGGTCTACCTAGAGGTTTGACTTGTAAAGGATGTTTACTTGTAAGGCTATTTGACTGCACTTAGAGAACTGAAGAACAATCCTTTGACCTCATGACAAGTAAAAGAGGGACAGAATGAAATGTTGCATTCAGAGAGCACCACTCTGTGAGAGGCATGGGCCAACGTGGCAGAGATACTTCTCTTTAATTATTCAAAGAAATCCTACTGTTAACTTTACATTTATTGTATCCAGAAAGGAGACAGTGATTCAGAGAAGGAAAAACAATATAAAACACAAAACAACATTTATGTCATGTCTCTATATATTAAGATTTAATTGAAAATAATGGATAAAGTCGATTTATAAATTTAAAAATTGTACATTTGCTATTATTTTTATATGTAATTGTATATTTCAGCTGTGGAGAGATACTTCTTTAATTATTCAAAGAAACCCCACTGTTACTTTTCATTTATTGAATTCAGAAAGGAGGGAGGGATTCAGAGAAGGAAAAGCAAGGTAAAACACAAAACAACATTTGTGTCATCTCTCTACACATTAAGATTTAATTGAGAATAATGGATAAAGTTGATTTATAATTTTACAAACTGTACATTTGCTAATATTTTTATATATATAATTGTATATTTCAGCTGTGAAGAGAGGACATAATACTGATTGAAGAGTACCCTTGATATATATTTAATACATCTCTTGAAATAAAAAATTTCAATCATTTCAAAAATATATTCACTCTAAACTATTAATTGTGATTATAATTCATTCTGAACTAAACTAATACATACATTTGATTCTAAGATGCACATTCTTATCACTATTGAATGTCTCTAAAATTGGGTTGCCTATTAAAATTAATGAAGTATCAGAACTGATTTGACAGTGTTTTGTCATTGTTAGTGGTATGGAATATAATGATATTTCTTCTGATGACTTCTTAACTTCAATATATGATGACTGTTCTCTCTAGAAATACTGCTCCCCCCCCCTTTATCAATAATCTTAACCTTTATTTTGTTACCTCTTTTGTGCTGATTCTATAATTTATCTTCCAACTCTGGACTCTTATGAAAGTGAAGGGGGTGCTGATAATAATTATGCCAAGCCAGGATAATACAGATTGTTATTAACTGATCACCACTTAAATGCACATATAGCAGTAACATTCATTGGGTGTTGGACAGGTGGAAGTGGGGAGGAGGGAACGGGTATATTCACATATACTAGGTGTGGTGTGCTCTGTCTGGGGGATGGACATGCTTGAAGCTCTGACTCAGGTAGGGCAGAGGCAATATACATAACCTAAACATTTGTAGCCCTGTGATTTGCTGAAATAAAAAAAAAATATGCCAAGAAAATAGGTGCCAAAAGTTCCTGTTCTAATTAAACTTGAACTTTTTACCAAGAGAAGTGGACACATGCACATGCACATGGATTATATTCAGCTCCAAAACCCATGCCCTGCCTTAGTGCACACACATATACATATGTGCACAAACTATCTAGGGAAATCTAATCAAGAAGTCTGACTTGTGAAGGCTGTCCTAATAAATCTCTCTATGATTTTTATAAGGAAAAGGTGTTGATAAAATGTCTATTCTGAGTGTATAACACATGTTTAATAAGTTCTTGAAAAGATTTTTTAAATGATATAAATATGCTACCTATAAACATGTTTAAAATACTGGCAAGGAAAGCTCCTTGTATTTAACTTTTTACCTATTAATTCATTTGTATAAGTTTGTTTTATAAAATATATAGTACACACTAGGGAAATATTTATTGAAAGTATAAATGAATTTAGGCTTACTGAACTACCTTCCATTTCTTTATTGAGTATGGGAAAACAAACCAGAATGAAAGCTTTACTTTAATTGCCTACTGATTGCCTTAGGATCAGGATAAAAGACTTGGGAGCTAAATTTGCAAAGAAGTAGTGAAGGATATCAAATGATGATTATTGCCTTATAGATATAATTAATGATATAGAGAGCTATTGCTATTTCACCAGAATCTGTAGAACAATAATTTTAGGAAAAAAGCCCTTGGCAGTAATAGTTATGTTGAAATTTTTATTATTTGGGACAATAAAGATCATAAAGAAAAGGGGATCTTATATAAAAATACTTTAGAATCTGAATCTGGTAAAAAGCTAAGCTGAATTTTTTTTTAGTACAAAAAAAAAAGAGTCCAAATAAATTTTATCATATTTGTTACAATTAGATGCTACATCGATCTTTCTTTAAGATGATAATGATACTGTATTTCATTGAAATGTAAATATATATGTCAATTACAGAAAAAATAATTTATTATAGTGTTTGATTCAGATGTATTTTATGCCAGGGTTTGAGTAAAAACTGAAAATGTAGCATCATTCACTGTTCTGAAATCTGGTTGTTTGGACAATTTGAACATATTTCAGAATATTGCATTTTGGCTGATTCTCTATACCTTATAGAGTTTCCATCTTATCTAGAGGTTATGGTAAAAATAAACATAAATCTGCTGTTTTCTGAGTTTTAAATTTTTGATGAGTTCTTAGATTTGCTTTCAAAAATTTCTACATAGCAGTGTGATTTTTATGAAGCCATTTTTTTGTGTGTCATCAAATGGTAGTGTTCAGGATGTGGATTTGGGCAGTTTCCCATTACCGATGGAATGTTGTGGGGGTAAGAACTGGATAGGGAGTAGGTAGATCACCATTTAAATTGTAGATCTTGACATTCTCTGAACAAGGCATGGAACATTGAGTTGGTCAGTATCATAGTCTAAAAGGTCATGATGATGAAATCCCTTCACAGGAATATTGTGAGTGTAAATATCCACCATGTATTAATTATAGTAGATGGCATTCCCATGGGTCCCATGAAAGATATAGCTAACCAAAATGCAGCCTCCATCCTATGAGCAGGTATTTTCATTCTTTATGACCCTGACATTAAAGAGAGTAGATGGTTCAAATGCTGTTTGTTAATTACTAATAATGTAATAACTATAGAAAGAAAGGGCAATGCAGTATTCACCATCACGGAGGTTTTAATAAAGAAAGGAAAAATAACAGTTTTCTTATAATCATTTTAAGGGAAGAGGAGATCAGGAAGTAGGAGGATGAGATTGAAGTCATCAATAATGGTTAATGAGGAGAAGGCATTTGAGTTATCTATACCTCTCATGGGACCTCCCCTCATAAAACAGTGGTTATTTTTGTACCAGTTATTTCCAGAAAGGAGAAAAATTTCAAATGGACGTACACTTTTTTTCAAGCAGGTTCACATAAGCAAAGGTGCTGGAACTTCAGAAAAATAAAACTAAAGAAAAAATGCAGTATGAGAGTTTCAGTTCTCTTACTATAAATTGGCCACTGGTTTATCTCTGTACTCCAGCCTCTGATGTAAACTAGTAAACACCATGAATTACGTGGTTCATAATGTCCACAATGTAAAAGCATATCAACTGCTATAGAGTAATATATTCATTTCTAAAATTGAAATTCAAGGGCAATCTTTTCAATTAGTCCATTCTTAGAGGACCACAAAGGTGGGTAATATACTTAAAATGGCTTGAACAGGATTGATTAAATAAAAATAAATTTCCTCTCTTATAACTCATCTGCCATCAAGATTGAACCCAGCATTCTATGTCTAGCCACTCTTTCTAGTTCTAAGCTCAGGTCCTTTTCCTGTAAATGGTGACAAAACACTAACTGCTTTGAAGTATTCTTGATAGAATCAAAGGAAGTAAAATGTGTAAAACTCTCATTTTTGTAGTTGGCAAATATTAATCACTTGATGTTATATACTATTTCATTAGAGACCACAGTAGTTTGAAAATATGTTTTGTACTTTATTAAATTGTATCAAACTTTTTGCCCTTGTGTTTAGAATATAACTCTCATTCTTTTGTGACATCTTCTGTACCTGTTCTCTACACTATATTTGAATCACATTATTAAGCAAAATATAGTTTGAGCATAACTTCACTGGATCCTTAACAATATTTAATCTTAAACAATATTTAAACAATATTTAAACAATATTTAAACAATATTTAAATATTTCCCCCCTATACCTTTCAGAGAATCACAACTGTTTAGAGAAATAATGAAAATGGTTTAAAAAAACTATTAATTATTAAACAAGGTTTATAGTTTAACATTTTTGCCAATTCTTAACATTTACTTCAGTTAAGGATTAGCACTTAAGTGAAAATAGGGAATGTCAAATATGATGTTGGATCTGTCAGTTGTATGAAATGATCTACTTTCTTAAAAATATTCTAAAACCTATCATACACTAGATTTAAATATAAAGTGATAGGAATATTTTCTGTACAGCAGAAGAATTTGCACTGCTGAACTATTTTCAGTGAGATGATGTATAATTGATTTTCTGGAATAGATGACACATTTTCATTGATCCACATTCACTTACTAGCTCTTAGATCTCAAGGTTTATGAGTGGTAACTAGTAGATAGAAGTTACAAGATTCTGAAAAATGGGATGTGTATGAGAGAGACTAGCCTGGGGTAAGAAATTGGATGCTTTAACCACTATGAGAATAGGAAAGAATGTCATATATAGAGAGATTGTATAAAATTATATTAGGTTATTAAGTATGAGATATCCAATTACCTTAAGTACTAAGTTTGATAGTTGTTATCTTTGACATTTCACTTTGACACTTCTTGTTTTATTTTTATTGTGAAGATACATCCTCATTCTTTCAAACATGTGATTTGGTTGGTGATTATCTTTCAGAATTTTTTTAGAGTGATTTTTGTGAAACCGTGGATAAATCAAAAATTCATGTTATTTTCAAATATGAGTTCCATCTAGGAACCAATGCAGTGCAGACAGCTTGAAATGTCAACAATGTGTTTGGGAAGGATGTGGCTAATGAATGCACAGTACGCGATGGTTTGAGAAGTTCTGTACTGGTGATATTAATCTTGAAAATGAGTCATGTGGGCAAC